GTGTGTGTGTGTGTGTGTGTGTGTGTGTGTGTGTGTGTGTGTGTGGACGGTGGACTGTGTCAAGCAAATGCACAACACCGCTGAACCTCATGCAGCCGTCTTCGCTTTAACTTCCCCACAAAGAGCTTTCTGATTTGATCAAGTGTGTGTGTGTTGCCTATTTGGCTGAAAATAGAAACCCAGTGGGGAACCTGGGATGGAACACATCACTGTTGGCGCCCTGAACGCTGACCGTGGACTTACTGCAACTACCACTTCTCAAAGCTACGAGCCTGCATACAGAGATGACCAGCTGCTCCCATGCAGTCCCTTATTGGTTGCTCCTCTCTTTCTCTGTCTCTCACCTCTACTGCTCTCATACTTCCTCTATGACCTTAGAAAGCTGCTGGTGACATCAGTTTGATCTCCTGGTGCTTATGCCTGGCTATTATCATTATGCTAATACTATGATGCTCTTTAAGGAGACTCGCTGATGAGATCTTTGTGCATCAGGGCGCCGCCACGCAGCCCTGGAAATTAATTCAAATTCATGCGTTATCGTGTTTTCCCTCTTTTGCTGAAATAACTTCTCTCTCTCCCTCCGTATCTTTGCCCCCTCTGCTCCTCCTCTCCTCCTCTCCTCCTTCTCTCCATCCACCTCAGGGCACTGTGACCTTTTCTTGTGCTGAACCCGTTTTTGTTGCCATGACGTTCACCAGCCCCCAAAGCTTCCTCCGGTTGCCGCCGTTGACAGAAGCGTCATCAACAGGCACGTCGGTGGGGCTTCAGTTTCGGACGTGGAACAAGGCGGGGCTGCTGCTGACCTTCGACCTCCCGAAGCAAGAGGGTGCGGTGTGGCTGTACCTGAGCAAAGCCAGGGTCCACCTCCAGATCCACAAGTCTGGCAGGGCGCCGCTGGACCTCAACGCAGGTCAGTGTGACCCCAAAGCTCCAACATAAACCTTCGTGTCCTCACCTCAAGGGTCTGCATTTAAGAAATATACAAATCAATGAATACAAGTAATAATAAATACATAAAAATAATAATGTTTAAATGAAGCAAAGCAATATAACAACAGAAAGCCCAAGAAAAGCAAAAAACTGATTGAAAAGAATAACAATAATACAAATAAAACCAAACATAATAAAATAAAATAAAATGATTACATCACATGAAACCAGTTTCAAGAAGTAATTTTAAAAAGATAATTGATTCTGAGAGCCAGTCACAGTCCAGATAACATTACAACACTCACAGCACAGATGCACCGCAGCAGAAAGATGTAACTTGTTTTTGTTTCTGTCAGTGGCTTTGACTCTTGGCACAATACCGGTTACTTTATATTGTCATCATAAGACAGAAACACGTTTGCACACATTTCCAGCAACTATGAAACTATGAAATAAAGCCAATCCTGAAGCCTGAGAGCAGAAATATCCATCCGACCGTCTTGCTGTAAAGTCTTTGAGCCAGATACTGAATCCTCTCCGGATTAAACAGCATCGATTGGTAGCTGAGCTTGACCTCTCACCCTGATCAATAAGCCAATGACTTCAATTCTAATCTTAACCTTCATGAAATTAAAATCAAGACAGTCAATACCTGCATCTCTCCATAGTGTACGATGTGTGTGTCCTCAGGCTCAGCTCTGAATGACGGTCAGTGGCACTCTGTGGAGCTGATCTCCAGACGAGGACATCTGACGGTCTCCGTGGACGGAGGTGAAGGAGCCACAGCTCACGCCAGTCCTCCGTTCCCCATTACCACGGGAGGTCAACTTTTCTTCGGTGGTAAGCAGGGGATAAATAAGAGAATACAAGCGCACAATCTTCTGATCAAATATGCTTTCATTATTGCAGACTTTTAAAATTCATGGTTTCCTCTGTTTGCTTCCTCCCCTTGTGTGCAGGTTGCCCCCCTGAAGGGAGCAGCCAGGAGTGTATGAACCCCTTCAAGGCTTTCCAGGGATGCATGCGCCTGCTGACTGTGCACAACCAGCCGGTGGACTTGATCCCGGTGCAGCAGAGGCTGATGGGAAACTACAGTCACCTCCAGATCGACATGTGTGGCATCATCGACAGGTCAGACCCCAAAAAAAGTACCATTTGTTTGATAATGTTTTCCCAGCGGAGGTCGACCAAAGCACAGGATATGCTACATGCAAAATTGGTTCTTAACTTTATTTATCCAGGAAAGTTTGGTTATTATATGTAGTAACGGATTGTGTGTATTAGAAAGCATCCTCAGAAAACAGCATCGCTCTCACTTTGTAACCCCAGTTAATCCCTCTGAAAGCTCTGTGACTGCTTTCCTGTGAAATAGGGTTACACATGGATTATTAGACAGCAGTAGATTGGATGCAGAGGGAATTATGACAACAGACTCCAATCCAGTTATTGTTTTGTCTCTCCAGCACCATATGAGGCGTGCGGGAAAGCTTCCTCTCTCTCAGCTGAAATGTGCTTTTGCTTTCTTCAAAATGTGATTTATTTGTGAGAAGCAGCTCCAGTCGGTTGGCTCTGTGCCTCAGCGTGGGATTGAGTTTGGGAAAATTCTGGGATGTATTGTTCTGTCAGTGGAGGAAGAGCATTGTCAGATTTAAGTCTTCTTCTTTGCCCTGTTTGCTTTCTGCGTCGGCTGTTCTGATTGTTGTTGCCAGATGATCATCATCATTATCACCATCTTGCTCATGTTGATTGTTGTTTTTATGTTCTGGACTCCAGTGCTCTTGGAGGCCGACTATACCCTTGGGGGAAACCAGTTTTAAAGTGCTATGAATAACAGCTAGCACTATATTGTGAAGGGGGATGTCCTGAACTGAGATTAGAAACACCAAATGTCCTCATATATTTAGATTAATTTAGATTAAAAACACTTCAACAAATGAAGCTGCCGCTACATTATTTCTATTTTTGACTGTTTATGCATCTGTTTGCGATCAGAGGCCTTTACTCACCTGGAGCGTGACGAATTAACAACACGGAAATGCTAAATACTCACCTGTGAATATTAAACGTCTAGGGCTTTTATTGTGAAAGGTTAGAACGGAAAAAGTTTACCATCCCGGAGCCTCCGTGTTCATATAGATATAAATATAAACATAAGCACAACTCAAGATCCCCAACGTGATTGGTTGGTTCCTCTTTATGCACTTTTTGCAGCATAATAATTGCGTTCTGTGAGAAAGTGCTGTTGAACCAACACAGATATTGTACACTGACAAATCGAATACCACCGTTGGACAGAATCCTTATTATAGACATTTCCGTATCATCAAGTGCTGGACAGACCACTGCCTCTAATATGCATGTTTTGCAGGAAATGTCAAGCAAAGCTCCACTGTGTCAGTCTCATGTTGTTTTGTGTTTGAGCAACAACACGTTGCTCTCAGAACATGACATTAGACCTTTTTCCCGAATCATTAGAGCCAGCTTGTACATGGCCTGCATATTATCCTCTGAGCAGCCGTTGGTAATTAAATGTCAACTTGAAAAATTGATTTACACTTCTTCCAACTCCTCACCTCCAACCTACGGTGTGCTTTCCTGATAATAAGCGCTGCTCGACTGATCACATGCGCACTGAACTTTCTGCAAGATGCGCATATGCATATGTGCAGATAAGCCAAGCAATGGACAATGAACAATGGACTGCCGGAATTTAAAATGCATGTATTTAAAAGGACCCACCTGCTTCCGTCCCCGCTTACTTTTTTAGATGAAAAGGAAAGCAAAGAAATTGGTGCTAAAAACCAAACTTAACCATCTGACAAGTCTGCTGAGTAAGGCTTTTTTCCAGCAGTGAGTTTCCCAGACTAAAAGATTAAAAATGCATGCTGCTCGCCCGCTCTCTTTCTCTTTCTGTCTCTCTGCAGTCACAATTCGCTGACCTCATTTCTCCTTCCAAATACGTTTACCCAGTCGCCGCTGAGCTCCATTCATCCCAACTTTCATCCCCTTTGTTGCTCCCTCGCTCCTTCCTCTCCGTCGATCCATCTCTCAACCTTAATTCCTCTTCCTGGATTTCTCTCTCTCTCTCTCTCTCTCTCTCAGCATCTTCCTGTCCTAAGCCGTTTGTTTTTCTTTTGTTTTCACTTCCTTGTTGAGCTCGCGGCCCCCAGCTCAGTCCTGACACTGGGCCGACACTGAGAATGAAAAAGTCCAAATTAAAAACAGCAGAGCTTGCTCAAACTTGTATTTTGGATGCCACAGTCCATTCTAAAAGTTATGAGAAGATGGAGGACAAAATCATAACACCAGGACTATTTTCCAATCAGATAAATTCATTCTCACAAACACAAAAGCTGCTCTCAAGTCATGTCCACAGAAGAGAAGCAAAATATGACATCTTCACCTGAATGTGCACGCGTTGTTTACAAAGCTCTGCTCCATTAAGCTTCAGATGACAGGGATGTTCACTCCAGGGGCCTGACTGCTGTTGTGAAACGAGCAGCGTAACATAATTGTGTTTGGCCTTGGTGCACATTTGTTTCTTGAGCCCTAACACACACACACACACACACACACACGCACACACACATGCATGGACACATCCAACCAAAATGTTGATTTACTTCTCACATAACTTGCATTCTTCAGTTACGGCACTTCCGTGGTTTATTTGAACCCAAACAACAATCTTTTCCTAAACCTAACCAAGTAGTTTTGTTGCCTGTTGCTGGACCTTCGCAAGAAAACTCATGAAAAATGAGGGATAACTTTTTGCGAGATATCATATCATATTGTATAAAAAGGAGGATACGTTGACCACCAGCCTGGGATCAGAACCACGGACAGCGATCAATCTCACGGGCGCAGATTACAGTCGGTGAGAAAACAATTACATTGCTATAGATTTAAATCCCTGATCCCACTACATAATAACAAAGAAGAACATCTACTCACCCATAGTTCATCCTACGGTCCATTCGCTCAGCAAAGTCAAAAAGAATATTACTCCCCAAGGAAGAGTAAAGGAAGGAAGGATGACTGATTAAGTCCTCCTGTCTACAGATTCCTTGTTAATCCATATATTCATGCAGTCGAATGTACCAAACATTTAGAAGCAGGTTACATTATTATTAACAAATTTCCTGGAAAAGATAAAAACCAATGAAAGAAAAGTCTGCCTACGTATAGCTTGGTGTCGCTTTTGCCTTTGTGCCATGTGTGACTCTGTTGTTGTCCAAAAACTATTAAAAACACATTAAATAAAAGTTGTAACGTTGCCTTTTATTCCGGTGATAAATGAGGCGGCGCAGCCACAAATAAGTGTTTAGATATTGAATTCCGTGCAGAGTGAATGAACAAATGCATTTACTTTTATCTCTTGTGATCTTGGTTCAGTTTCTACATAGAGAGAAAAACTTAAAGTGGATGTTTTTGCTATTTTATCACCAGGACAACCTTACAGTGACCTCCTTACACTAAGATATGAGGCTGAACGCTGATGTTAAACGTTGGTCTGAATGTCTTAAAGTGTCTCTCTCTGTCTCGTAGGTGCTCTCAGAGTCACTGTGAACATGGAGGCAGCTGCAGTCAATCATGGAGCACCTTCCACTGTAACTGCTCCGGCACCGGCTACAACGGAGCCACCTGTCACAGCTGTAAGGCCGTGAAGCTTTGTTAAAGGTCACACACACACACACACACACACACACACTCACACACACACTAACAGTATGCACTCCGTGGGTGTGTACATGTGTACGTTTGCACTTGTTCACATGTTTCTTTTAATGAGACAACCTGCTGCTTTACAGTCCAGGTCAGGGCAGAAGGCAGAAGGTCAGGCTTCTTTCCTGCAGTCACCGTTGCGTGAGCATCGAGACGTCTCAGTCGACGCAAAGCCAGATATAGAGGCGTAGGAACAAGGGAGGAAGATGAAGAAAGCTAGAAAGGTTAAAAATAGATGGACAAATTAGAAAGAACAGGAAAAGACACTCTTCTTTATTAATCTGATTCTATAGAGAAAGGTATTGTTTAGTTCTATGACTGCATTTCTGTATTTATGTGTGCATGTGCTTATCTTTTACTTTGAAAAAGCAATGCTCAAATAAAGTCCAACTGTTTTATTGTAAAGACTAAAGAGCTCCTTTGACAAGCCATGAGGTTCTCACAACGAATCATAAAAACATCCCCATTCAGATAAATACATTTACTCCTTTAATTAACAGCTATATCTATTTATTTATTATCAGTATTAATCCCAAAGTATATTATATCATTTTATATATCACATAAAAAAATGCATCACTGCTCAGTCTGAACTTCATTAAAAAAGTAATTTAGATTGTTGATGGTGGAAATAACTACCACTGCTTTATAGAATATAAACTGCATTACAGTTCGCTGCATATGCTACGTCACTACCTCTGCGTGTCTCTCTTAATCATTTCAACACTTGCCAACCCGAATACAATAATTCCATCCTTAACGTAGCCTTGCTTTGCAAAAACATAAAAAGGCAACTTTTCTTTCCTGGCCACTGAGCAAAAAACATGAATGACTGAGATGTTTATGATGATGATGGTGTTGATGATGATGATGCCGTGTCTCTTTCTCCTCAGCGATATACGAACAGTCCTGTGAGGCGTACAAACACAAAGGCAACACGTCGGGCTATTATTACATTGACGTGGATGGCAGCGGACCCATCAGACCACAGCTGATGTACTGCAACATGACAGGTAGCTGACACGCACACATCAGAAACACAGCCCGCTGTCCTCTTTCATCCCGCCTCTGTTCCTGTCCTGCTGAGTGACACACAACAAAAAACATGCTTTTATATTTCCTTCCTTCTGTCTCTCTCTCCGCCAGAGGACAAGACCTGGATGGTGATCCAGCACAACAACACGGATCTGACGAGAGTCCGACCGTCGCCGGGAAAGGACCAGCACTCGGCTCACTTTGAATACGCATCTGAGGAGGAGCAGCTGGCGGCCGTCGTTGGCCAATCAGAGCACTGCGAGCAGGAGCTGACCTACCTCTGCAGGAAGTCCCGCCTCCTCAACACACCGGGTAAAGCTTGTTGGTATTCTGTGATGCCACATTATTTAAAACGGTGAAGTAGCAACGTATCCTCATACAAATGTTCATATAATATCTTACGAAAACGTTGCTCCTCATCACAACTCAGCTGATGGGTTTAACATGCAGAACCGTCCGTATGGTCCTTCCAACAAAGATTTCTACAAGAAATAGATTATATGTTTAAGAAGCCGTAAACTGTATATTGTAAAGCAAATCTTTAGTCACACTACCGTGAAGTCAAACTGAATCCGCTTCATTTTTTGTGCAAGGATTGCAGCTGTTGTGCAGTCACCTGGATTGAACAAACAGGAGTCCCCAGGAGTCCCCTGGCTGAAAGAGTGGTGTATATTGGACAAAAGAAAACTGGCAAATGAATCATTCATTCACGTGCATATATACACCACTGTCCAATATATGTTCTTTGTAATATCAACATTTCGTATAATATAATAATACAATAATGTGAACTCAACCGTTAGGTCCGGTTATATTTAATTTTAGTTTTTATTAGTTTTACGGTATACATTCCTTATCTTCACTGTTTGATTTCTTATTTCTTATACTTGGGTGTTTTTTTCACTGATGCCTCTCGTTGTTGCACAATCCTCTTTGCTGCTGTAATATACTGCGAAGTCCGTCACTGCTGTGGGCGTAGTAAAGGACCATCTCATCTTATCGGTGTGTTGCAGACGGCCCTCTGCTCAGCTGGTGGGTGGGAGGTCCAGGTGCAGGAAAGGTGCAGACTTATTGGGGCGGAGCTCCGCCCGGCAGCCAGCAGTGTTCCTGTGGCCTGCAGGAGAACTGTGTGAACCCCAAACACTACTGCAACTGTGACGCTGACCGCACCGAATGGTACTGTGTTATTTACTTATATCAACACCAGATTATGCTGCTTTAAAAGAATGTACTGATATTATTCATGACTACTGGATCAAATGGATGGATAGGTAGACGGATAACGTATGGTCATGTTTACAACGCTCAGTAGAAGCAACGCCCCAACAGCTCACATCGAGGCAATGTCCAATGTGCAAAAATAGCAAAAGGTTCCACTAAAAGGTTTGTCCTTTTGGAAATAGTGATGATGAATTTTACTTTTTGCTCCCCGATCATCTCCTTTCCTCTTCTTATCTCTCTTCCCTTGCTCATGTCAAACGTTAATCTTTTCCCCTCTGGTCTTTGGTTTCCTCTTTAAATTCAGCTTCTCCTTCTTCTATCTTTCTCTTCCTCTTCGTGTCTTTTCCCTCCCGTCCAGGGCCAATGACTCAGGCCTGCTGACCCATAAGGAGGCCCTCCCTGTCAGATCTCTGGTGCTGGGTGACGTCCAGAGGCCCGGCTCAGAGAGCGCCTACAGGGTCGGGCCTCTCCTTTGTCATGGAGACAGTAAGTCAGGTCCAGATCCCTCAATGTCACCTTGTACATGTCATTTAAATGATGCATGCGTGTCAGTAATACTGGCAATTAGTGGCCTTTGATTGAATTGCAAAACCATGATTGATAGGTTTTCGTTTATTTGCAGAAAACATCTGGAACGCTGCATTTTTTGACAAGGAGACGTCGTACCTCCACTTTCCCACATTCCACGGAGAGCTGAGTGCCGACATCTCCTTCCTGTTTAAAACCACTTCATCCTCCGGCGTCTTCCTGGAAAACCTGGGCATCAAAGACTTCATTCGGATCGAACTGGGCTGTAAGTTAAAAAGCCTTTCCGGTTAGAAGTGTAATCCGCACTTGGCTTAGATGTGAGTACATCCTGAGCAGGAAGGATCATCCCGGGAGTTAAAGTTTCACCTGGATTGAACTCAGCTGGAGGTGACCGACCGCCTCCAACTGCACCTCAGAACATCTCTTCCCTTACAAAGAAAAAATCACTTTCCAGCGACACCGCCATTTGTTTTTCCTCCTCTGGGAAATTACTGCAGTGACATTGTTCCAGTCCGCTGCAATACATTTCCTTTATAACCACCAGAGTGTATAGTTCTGTGTATCATTGTGTTGTACTGGATTCATCGAACTGTAACACTTTATGGTAGTTCACATAGTGTGTGCCGTTGTAGCTGTTCTTTAAGACGACAGCTCCTGATAGTGTTTCATTTCTTGGGTTTGCCAAAGAAAACTAATCCAGTAATGTAGACAGGTAACTAATTATGATCGCTTTACAATCCAAATATAGCCACTCAAGAATCTGTGCAAGAAATCAGGTTTAACGGGATACTTCATACCCAAAATTATAGTTTTTATCTCAGTTACTATACCAAACTTTCTCTTATGCCTCCACAGAGAAGAAAGTATCAGAGAACAAAGAAAAGGTCTTAATGAACAGAAGGAAATGTCAAAACATCCGTTTTCAAACTCTCACACATCTCTGCAGAATAATGAAAGTCTCATTTATTCAGTCGTACGCTCACTACTTCACAAACGCCTGCATCTTTACTAAAACATTTACTATTCAAAACACTTACGGATGAGTAGCAAGCGTGGAGACTGTTGATGCTGAAGTTTTTTAAATAGGAAGTAAGGAGGTTTTAGTGGCGTTGCATGAGACAAATGTGTGTTTCATCACAATCCACAAATGAAAACAAGATTTACGAATACGCGCGATGATTTGGGGGAAATTTATGGTGATCACAAATGCATCTTCCAATCCACAAACAAATACCACTGAACGAATGGAACACTTATGTGTGGAGTTTGAGTATGTGTTTAGCCTCCGATCCACAAATGCATGCGTTGAACTGCTGAATTACTGATATTTATTTCAGTTGAATCGTATTTATTTGTAAAATTGTTTTATTTTTGTTTAACAAATTGATTAGTATTCGCTTGTGGATTGTAAAAGCTTTTTTTTTTAAAACATAAATTACTCAATAATTGCGACGCACATTTGTTAATCGTGTTTGTGTATCACAAAACATAGACATATACAGTATATATATATATATATATATATATTTTTAGTTCCTGCAGTTATTTGCTTACTTCAAGCATGAGAACACACTGAATGTGTCTGGACATCACATCAAGCAGCGCTGCGTCCTCGTAGACGGTTGCTGTAAACCTACAGTTGTCTCTGCAGCAGCGGTTCAGATGCCCACGAGTTGTTATTGAAACTAGTTGCTATGACAATTGCTCTTTGGTGTCACATCTCTGTGAGCCGGGGTCTGTGTTTGTTCGCATCACTTCAGTCAGACGTTACTTTTAAATCACATTTCATCTTCTCCGCTGCACAGATGGTGTAACTGTTACAGCGAGTAAAGGCGTCAGAGAGAGAACAAGCAACAGGAGACGGTTTGAGAAGATGAAAGGTCCTTTTACAGTCCTGCAGTCAATGAGATAGACACAGACTCAGTGTGTACCGAGCGAGGCAACGTGCTGCTTTCATTTCTTTCATTCTTTCTCAGTTTATAGGTTTTGCTTTGCAAATGTAAAATGGTAAAAACAACCGCCACAACAATAGATTTGAGCCCTTAAAGAACAGCTGTTTGCAGGTGGAACAAGTGAAGAACAGGATGAATGTTTGCTAAGCAGGGGCTGATGAACACGTCCAGTGAGTTTTGATTGTCTTCCTCTCCTGACTCAGCTTCCACCGAGGTCCTCTTCTCCTTCGACGTGGGTAACGGTCCGCTGGAGGTGCGCGTGACGGCCGGCTCGCCGCTGAATGATGACAGGTGGCACCGCCTTCGAGCCGAGCGCAACGTTAAAGAGGCCTCGCTCCGTCTCGACGAGCTCCCCGCTGCCACGCAGGAGGCTCCTGCTGATGGGCACATCCACCTGCAGCTCAACAGCCAGTTATTTATAGGTCGGTGTGTGTGTGTGTGTGTGTGTGTGTGTGTGTAGCTGCTGCACACACTGTGAATGCAAAGAAGACACACAGCATCTTTTTATCCGTACATCAGAAGTTTTTTCACAAACCTTTCCTCCATTTCAGACTTCCCTGAGAAGTGATGTCTGTCAGTGTCTCAGAGAGTATTCTCTGTCTCTGTTTACTCTGTAACTTCTCTTTCACCCACACAAAACATCTAATTGACCCCAGAGAGGCTGGTGGCCTCCTGAAGTAATCCGGTAGGGACAGAAACTAAAACTTTCTGGAAAACTTTCCATCCTGGTTCACACTGTACAGGGAGTGAATTGCGATGCTGTCTCTGGTTATTGAACTGGCAGATTCAATCAGCCTAGAACAATCCTTAATATGAAACCTCGGCAGTTTAAAGTCAACCCATTCTCACTCTTAACTCATCAAGTACCGACGCTTGGTCAGTGACTTCTCGTTTGACACGGAGAACAAGCGGCAGTCTTCTGGGTGAAAGACCGGATTTTATTGGACCCATCCACCGTTACTTCCACCCGCCCTGTGTGGGTTCTTGCGGCCTTTATACTTCCTGGTTCGTGACTACGTGGATCACATACGAAATTTCCTCGATTTCCTCGGATATCTACAAATTATAGCACTTATATTTTCTTCGGTAAAGCTGAACAACCTGAGTCGTAAGTCACGTGAGTTGTACCTAACTAAGTAGCTGTGTTGCCTTAACCTAACTTCCTTTTTTATCTTTAGAAAGGCTCTTTGCATGTAACGTGTGGAAACTGACATGCCGTCCCAGACACGTCCAAAACCGAGTGCTACCCAGAGCGTCCTAGTTTGAAGCTTAAGTCCACTGACTTTGGTAGTCGGGGTGAGAATGTTTTGGCAAGGCATACAGCTTGAGTTTATGGCAGTAATACCTTCATATACACTTCATAGACTGAGAGGAAATCCATACAAGTTGATAGAAATAATCCCAAGGACGACGCAGTGAAAGCGTGTGTTTGTGGTGGTCAGTGTCCTTGCAGTAACCTTGGTACAGTGTTTGAACCCAGTCCATTAGTTAAGGTGGTCCTTCCCTGACAGCTCTATGATGAAACTCCGGCTCCTGATGTGAACCTCATCAACTCTGCAGTCCTGGAAAGCTGTTTATCTCATCATAACAGTCGTCAGGTTGCCAGTTTGGCACTCCGAGACAATTATAATGCAGCGGAGGCTGAACTCTGAGGACAGTTGGAGGTCGTAATGCTAAATGTTGGAAAACAATAACTTTTGGAGCTTAAATTCCAACCCTAGAAAGAAGAAATGTTAAAGTCAGGCAGACTCAGACAGATTGACGGCTCGCCAGCTTCCCAGATATGAACAGTCAGCCCGTTGCTCACTGCCAGTTAAAAGTCAACACTTTGAATTTTTCACCTGCCAGTTTGTGTTTAGCTATGTTTCATCAGCTCATCATTTTAAAAATTCAGTAGGAGGGTGTTGACAAATCTTTGTTTCCCGAGGTGCAGATGGTGTTTATAATAAAATCAGATATCAGTGTGTGTCGACCTCCCAAATCAAGCTTCGCTCAAGCTGCATTTCCATGCAACAATAAAGGAAAATAATAATGACAGGAGAAAGTTTCATGGTTGTTTCTTGCATCATTCAGAAATGAATGGAAGTCAATGGCTGCCTGGGAAGTATGGAAATACGTTAAAAAGCAAGAAAAATTCACTAAGCTTTGAGAAATGGTCGACAGTAATATAAAGTAGTCGTGACTTGTAGCTTAAACGTGCAAACGCACAGGTTTGGTCTATAATGAGCTGCTAACCCACAAGAACAGTTCACAATGATGTCATCCAACGTTCAAAATGTTTTTCATCTACTCGTTAAATAAATTCTGGGGGGAACATGAAGGAAGGGGGCCGTAAATTGTCAGTTAGATATATTTACTAAAAAATATCGGTTTTGTCGAATCAAAAAAAAATCAATCTAAAACACTGAAGTAGATGCTCTGTGTGTGTCTTCAGGCGGCACGGCCTCCAGGCAGAAGGGCTTTCGGGGTTGCATTCGCTCTCTGCAGCTGAATGGCGTCACCCTGGACCTGGAGGAGAGAGCCAGGATCACGCCCGGGGTTCAGGCGGGATGTCCGGGCCACTGCAGCAGCTATGGCTCACTCTGCCGGAACCAGGGTCGCTGCTTGGAGAGGCCCAACAGCTTTTCCTGCGACTGTGGCTCGTCTGCTTACACCGGAGCCTTCTGTGACAGAGGTATGTCGCAGTAGTATCACCCATCAGCTCCTGTGGGGGGAAATGTTGTGTGTTTTACTTAATATCCAAAATAGGGGAAACTATTTTCCCATTAAAGAATTTAAGGCAGAAAAAAATCCCCTTGTTCCACCCTGTCTGCCAACATCATACATGTATCCAATTGATTTCAACTTTTCCAGTGCTTGAGCATCATTTTATCAACAGAAAGTTAGCCCGACGTATATAATCTCTTTAGCAACGTTGGGGTCTTTGAGGCGTGTTTGGCTTTTGGTCAGCAAGCTGAAGCCCAAAAGCTGCCGTCGTCCAACATGGCCGCATGAATACGTTACAGTTAAATCTGTCTTTATATAAAAAATGAAACAAACACACACGGGAACAATTATTCACACATATCTTATGTATAAACAGGAGCCCTACAGATATCCAGTTAACATGACACCAGTGTGAAGTCAACGCATCACATATTATTATCATTATCATACACAGCTGCCAATCATCTTGATCCTGTGGGAAACATAATATACAGTTCATCTTGAGGCCAATAATGAAGTCTGCGGTTGGCTGATAATTGGTCTTGTTTTGACCTTTTTCTTCTTCTTTCTCAGTCATATTACACAACATAAGTCTGTGTCAGCACTTCAAATGTTTTCCTATGCTGATGGCGAACACTGAGGTTAATATACTGTTTGACATCACCGTCTATTTAGTGCAGGAAGTCACTAATAATTTGGCTTTTTTTAAATTGTATTATACTAAAGTATAAGAGCTGTGTGCAGATTTTTGTCTGAACATGTCTTGTCGCATTGTTCCCTTGAAGTTCTTATGAGACCACACACCTGCACTTCTTGTCCTTAAGTCATCACTGGAGCATTGAGTCATCACATCAGCGCAGTAACACAGCCTCATATTTATGCAATAATTAACGACCCAGCTGTGTTCTCTGTCGGAGCGCTATCTGCGACGGAAATCACAGCGCTGATACACGACGGTGGTATAATTAGCAGCCGCATTTTGCATTGTTCTTTTCACCTGCCAGGTGGTTTCCTGTGGCACCGCGAGCTCAGTTAATTTGGGGTTGTCAGTGCTGCATACAGTGTATGAATCACCACTACTGTCCCCCTGCAGGATTAGTTCTTAACGAAGAAATACTGTCTCTGCAAAACAAAAATAAGCTGTAAACCAAACTTTTAACAGCCATAATTACAAAAAAAGATCATCCCACAAGTGCAGCATAGCAGCAGCAAATGAGACAAATGCTTTGTAATTTAACTTTCTGACATTATCTCCTCACTCCTCCCCCCTGCAGAGGTTTCAGCCAGCTTCAAGTTGGGAACATCCGTCAGCTTCACTTTCAATGAGCCGGCGTTGAACGAGCTGAACAGGAGCCGCAGCAGCTCCCTGTCCTCCTCCATCCAGTCCGACATGAACCTGAGAGCAGAGAACGTCTCCCTGAGCTTCAGGACCAGCCAGAGTCCCGCTCTGCTCCTCTATGTGGGCTCCTACCACACAGAGTACCTGGCTCTGCTGCTCAACAAGCATGGTGAGACCCTCCTACCTGTGTCTTCAACAAGGAATACTTCTCTCTTGATGCTGATCATTTGTTTCTTATCATCGTCACGAGGTTAATCTCTGTCTCTGTCTAAAAATAGTTTTAACGCGCTTTAACGTTATTGGATCGGTACTCTGTATTTGTCGATACACTAGTTCAGGTATGAGATTCGATATTTGGAAGGAAAAAATGGCATCGGAACAACTTTTACTGCAAACTGAATATTTGCATGTAATCTATAAATTAAAAATGTGTTTTGGGGAATCGATACAGTATCTCAAAACATAATAGTGTGGCGGTATTTTCTTACACCCTTAAATTGAAGGAGTTGGTGGCTTATAGATCCTTTGAATTAAAATGCAAGAAACATATTTTGAGATATAAAAACTTTTGATGTTTGTGTTGCTGAGTTGTGATGCATGAAAGGGATGATGCAAAGCCCCTTTACTGTCGGATAATGAGATCAGAGTCGAGACTGTATGGATTGTCCATACCTCCCTCCGCTTCCCCTAAAGCAAACTTCCTGTCAGGCTTCTCCACATCCTTTCTGTTCTCTTGCTTCCTTCCTTCTTTCTGCCGTTCACGTCAGCGTTAAATCAGACGAGAGGCGAGTGGGGTCCTTTGATTTGGAAAGAAAGACGGCTGATAAAGGTTTCTTTTGATGATGAAACACTTTGTGGCATTTTTAAAGATCTACATCTTCGGTGCCACAGTGAAAATCATTGGCTTTCTATGGGATTTGTTTATAATGAAAAGCATTGGCTGCCTTATCTTTTAAAGATCATTCTGGCAGTTTTCATCCATCTCGATCTGAGGGAGACATAAAAGTTACGATAACTGTCCCTCCTTTTCTTTTGTTAGAGTTACATTATTGTTGTGTTGTGACGCAGCTCTGAGCTTTTTGTGAAATTCTACTTGTTGGTGTCTTCGTCTGACATCAGTGATTACAGAGCTGAAAGCAAAGAATTCACAAGCTACGTTACTGAAAGTGGAGCCCAGAAGGCAAACAAACACCAACATGAATGTACATCATGAAACGCATTATGCTAAATGGATTGTTTTCTTGTATTCAAATGGAGGGTTAGATGTTGTGTTTTGGCAGCTTATTCAAATGTCAGGGTTCTCATTCAGTTTTGTGCTTTAACGCTGATTTCTATGCATAGAATCCAAATGATCAATTTATTCTTGTGCTTGACAATGTGAGTACCAGGCATACCGACAAACTCCAAGGGGCGGACAGGTATAATCACAGACAGACCAATTCCTAAATTATAGATACTCAAACTCGACTGTCTGCCATGTAATATAGATTGTAAGCTATCGTTCTGGTAACCATTTCTTTCACAGTAAATTAGGCCATTAATGCCTCTATTCCATCTTGTTTCTCTTGTTGTGCACCACTGAGCACATGTGGCTCAGTGTGAGAGTTGTTAAGGTACCATTCATTTTAATTGGCAGGTATATCTTGTGTGCAACAATTAATACAAACTTGTAATCTATGAATTGCATTGAAGTTGTATTTTGCCCAATGTTGTGATTTGCAAATCTTTATTTGACCATCAAGTAAAGCAGCTGAGTCGGCAGGAAAAGATGTTGCCATTGAAAGTCAACGTTTCTCTGTGTTTTTGTTTTTACATCCGGTCAGAGCAAGTGATGTAGCAGCTCTGTGGTCACCTTGTGTGACTTGTTAATCATGGTCATTGTGGTGTGAACACACTGTATACAGCTGTCTCTCACTTTTCTCCGTCTTTCTCCTCTAATAAGTGAGGTAACACAACAAGAGTTAAGTGTTAAACGTAATTAGCAGGGCTGAAAAATATAAATAATGCATGATTCAAAAACCTCTGCTGCTTACGTAGAAACTCTTCTTTCCTGGTCACCGTGGGTGGCCTAAGGATTTCATGCATTCACAATTATTCCCAAGATATGCTCATGTGAATTTCTACAATGCTTTGATATGCACTATTATTATGCATTTGCTCTGTAAAATGGAAAATAAGCTTTCTTATCTTCCAAACAGCCTGCAGACATTACATGGTATTCATGTGATTGCAATAAAATTACCCATTTTGAATGACACGAACATTATCTAAATTAACTTGAGTCTGTATATCATTTATAACATTTTTCTTAATGTCTAATTATTTTGGGCTTCATTGTTCAGCTGCTGGGACCCTGGAACATCCAGACTTCCCTTGAGACATGTTGTTCATTGGGAGGTTGTGTCTCTTTCAGCCTCTTGTGTTTGATTTGTTGACTTGTGTGTGCAGACATGCTGGAGGTGAGATACAGACTGGATAGCAGCAAAGATGCTGAGATCCTGAGGAGCACAGTGAGAAACCTCGCCAACGGACAGCTTCATGCTGTCATCATCAGCAGACTGGCAGACGCCGTCTCTGTGCAGGTAACGCACACAATAATATTCCTCTCAGTCTGCTCTGAACCCTGAGTCACCCCGGTGTTCCCAGCAGCCTCTCTGTCAGTCGACTTCAGCGACAAGAAGACAGCAGGGAAACAACTGCAGATAATAAAACCTGAGCTGCACTAAAACAGTGGACCCAAACATTAGCAGCTTGGCAACAACTGCAAAGTGCTTTTTTCTCTTTCCTTTAAAACAAGACTTGCTCTTCTAGCTTTGGGCACTAGATCCCCCTGTTGTTTACATTATGCTAACATTAGGGCACCTGATTCAGAGACAATCTCTGCTTCATGATAATGTTGCACTTCATATGCTGATGATACACCGCTGTACCTTCAGCTGTGTTTCCACGAACAAACACCGCAGAAGGGGCGGTGGATGGGTCCAGCAGAAAACGATCCTTCACCCAGAAGATAGCTGTTCGCTCCTCGTGTGAAACGAGAAGTCAACGTTGATTTATTTGTCACGTAACAGACTTCAGTAACGTTACTTCCGTAGTTATTTTAACCCACATGACGATCTTTTCCAAACCTAACTGCATTGTTTTGTTGCCTAAACCTAACTCAATTGTTTCCTGTGAAGACGGAACTTTATTTTGAAAAGACTGTATGCATGTAACGAGCGTAAATTGACACTTTTGTTGGCTTTTATAGAAAGACACAAACAAGAAGAACAAAGAGGATTTTGTCAAAGGAGACCACTGTTTGTGTCCTGTTCAAAACTAAATGTAAACATTGATAATTTGTCACTTCAGTCGTTAGCCACGTCAGCTTGCGTGAGTTGATAATCATGTGACTTATTTGTCACTGGCAAGTCATTCTCAATTTAAAGTAAACTACGCTCTTTACCAAACCATGACTGGGTTTTTTCCGAAACCCAAATTCCTTTGCAGACAGAGTGGAAACTGACCGGTCCGGACGCTAGAGGGAACCTAGAGCATGCTAGTTTGAAGCTTAGGGACACTTACTAAACGTCGGTATTTGACGAGTTGGGTGTGAGAACATGAACCACAGACAGACATCTCTTTTATTGTCTCTCTAATTCTCATCTTAGGTCCTGGTGGTACAATAGCCAGAATTTCTACCCATCTTAATATATTACATAATTTTGCTTTGCTTGTTTATCAGGCTCGGATAAACTGGTTCTAAGTTGTGCAATCATGCCAAAATATGTGAAGTTCTTTGCAAATAACCAATATTTTCAATGCAGTAATCAGTTGTATTCTTTGAAGAATCTACATACCAGCAATGTTGAGTTTGAAAACTTATTTTCTTACAGATTGACCAGAACGCCAAAGAGGACTTCAACCTGACATCTGATGTAGAGTTCAATGCCATCCGGTCGCTGGTTCTCGGCACGGTGCACGGTAAGTGAGACGGCTACAAGAACCCAGGCAAGGCCTTTCAGACTGAAGAGCACTCAGACAGACTCATTTCAGAAAGGTTTCGCCTCATCAGACAACAAGGTAATGGGAACTTTCATCATGATGGTTTGATCCCCAGGACGGCTGTCTAGACCATCAAATAGGTAAAGAATAAACATAGAAAAAAATCTAAATGCCGGGAACTCTCAGCACTAAGATGGGACACGATCAGTTTAATACGTGGTAGGTTCACCTGTAAAACACTGTAACTGATCAAAATAAATAAATATAATACGCATTCCTTACATCATTATGAAGATCGTTGACTTTTCCTGTATAAGAGGAGGGTGGACCAGAAAGAAAGGTCATAATTTATACAACCAGACACTCAGAAACAAGGGAAATAATACATTAAGTGTGATCCAAAACACATCAATTATCAAATCATAATTTCCTTCATAAAGGCATCGCCATTAAAATGATTTTAAACGGTAAGGTACTGCTAACAAGCTGGAACTGTTAGCAAAATCATCTGATAAGTCAAAGCAGTTTAATTACACAGAGTCATAGTTATCAAGCTTCTTACTTTGTCGATATTAAAGCAACAATATGTATAATTTAAAAATGTTTCAACTTTGGCGCCCCATTGTTGTAACTGTAAAACAGCCCTAAAGCATCCCCTGCTTTATGGTCTGTTTGACTCTAAATGGACCATAATGTACTAAATGAACATCATGCTGTATTGAAGAAGACTTGAAACTAGAGATTGAGACCATAAACTCATGTTTACAATGTTTACTGAGGTAATAAATCAAGAGAGAAGTAGAGTCATTTTCTCATAGACTTCTATACAACCAGAGGAGTCGCCCCCTGCTGGACACTAGAGAGAATGCAAGTTTTAAAACACTTCCTCATTGGCTTCACTTTTCAGACCCAGAGGTTTCCGCCTGGTATTTGGTTACAAAACAAAGTATTGGACAATCTGAAACTTAGATATGATGATGGCGATAGATTAAAAAGTTATTCAAATTCATCCTCTGGGGATCATGATTGTTGGTACCAAATGTCATCCATCCAAAAGCAGTTTAGACATTTCACTCAAAACCACAAACGTCAACCTCATGGTGGCGCTAGAGCAAAAATACGGTGATTACCAAAGCACCGTAGATATCTGTAGAACATTTTATGGAAATCTATTTAATAATTGTTAAGTTGGGATCAAAGTGGTGGGACCAACCGAGAGACCGCCATCCACAAGAAATCCTGTCGCAACCGCGTGACTGTTGTCACAAACAAGAAAACAAATCTACCACGGAGCAGCTTATGCAGGATGCCATGCATAATAAATGTAGAGAACGCTTTCTTTATTGCCACAATGCATTGCCACAACATTGCTCTGTTTATGACACAATTATGCCACTTGTCGTGAACACACAACAGTTTTAAGGCCAGTGCTCACTTTGCACAGCTTGCACTGTAGTTTTTATGCAAGCTGTTGGTCAACGATGCAGTGAAAATCTATTCATGCAGGCTGGTCTCATCCAGCATTCGTAGCATTACCTACGAAAAATGAAATGCACTGATGTGCCAACTCATGTGCTTGCATACAGAGTAGACACAAAGGGATTTCAACTTCCCAGACAGGACAGGCGTTTAAAAGCCTCCGAGGATGTTCTCTTGGGAGGTTATGGGTCTTTCAATGCTGCTAATGACTCTTTCACTTCATACATATTGCATCCTCTTTGGATGAGTAACATTGCTGTATTAGCGGTACAATGTAATGTGCTTTCGCTCTTTCATATTCAGTAGCTTTATCGCAGTGTTAAACAATGAACATTTTGCCTCTGATTCACTCACAAAGACAGAAACACCCACAGGGTGCTCTGATAGAATGTCTGCAGGAGGAAAAAGCAAATGCTGATGCTCTGGATTAAATACAATCCTACTAAGCCCGGGAGACGGTGTGACCAGTTTAACCTCTCTAAGACTATTCTTTCTGCCTGGTTTGCCTCAGACAGATCCGACATGTAACAGAGACACAGCTTCACTGTGATGCACTTTGTCATGACCTAGTTATGTTCTGTTTGAACAGCGCCTTCAGACACGGACTAAGAAATAGGTTGTTAATAAGATGAGAGGCTGTGGCACTACCCTCATCCAGGTGTAGCACTGCCACTGCAAACCCGCTGCAAAAAGTATAATGCTTTTCTTTGATTCAGCCATTGATATCCAGTACGCGTTGGGGTTTTCAGGCTAAATCAGACTAGTGCAAGTGTTTCACAGGACGCATGACGTATCCATGCATCTTTCCCTTCAGACTCTAGTGAGTTGGATCCGGAGCTGTCTCGGCTCGCCTCCCTGGGTTTCACAGGCTGTCTGTCTGGCGTCCTCTTTAACTCCGTCAGCCCTCTGAAAGCGGCTCTGCTCCACCCGGACACCAGCCCCGTCTTCGTTACCGGCCCACTGGTCCAGTCCATTTGTGGCTCCACTTCAGCCAATCCCTACGCAGCAGAAACCACACACCACCTATCAGGTAGGAGGACACGTTTGGTTGTATTTCTGTTTTGGCATTTTCACAACCTTCGGCTTGTGTCTCATATCTTTAAAAAGAAATCCAGAGGTGATTTTATGAATACTTTAATGTTATAAAGGGTCAGACGTCTTAAATATAACTTCTGTAGTTATTTTAAGCCAAACGACGATCTTTTCCTAAACCTAAGTAGTTCTGTTGCCGAAACCTGACTGAGTGGTTTCCTGTGAAGATGGAAGTTTATTTTTAAAAGACTGTACGCATGTAAGGCTTTCATAGGAAAACGCACAAAATATGAGTAACATTTCATATCAGACGAAGCGTTGTGTGAGGATACGTTGATCAAGTTGATATTTCTCTCAACAATTCACGACTCTCTAATCGTCGGTGTATTCAAGTACAGCGCCCACTTTCTCACGGGACTGTTAATGAATATTATTGAGGTTATCGTAGGTGATCTGTGTGGGTGCTACCTCTCAAACTTCACAATGGGACCTTTGGGTGTCTAATAACATAATGACACTGAGTTAATGATCACAACACGAGGCAATTAATTCACTTTCCTTTGCCATATCTTCCCCCTGTGGTCACAATACAGAGAACCTAGTGGAGGTGTGCTGTGGTGTCCATTATCTTTTCTGTCTATGATTCCTGTTGAGCATCTCTCTGCTGTACTTTTCATTTGTATGTTTCATGTCACTAATGACCTCGTTGCTCCTTTGTTCTCATCTGCTCACCTTCATGTCTTCTTTTTCCTCCTCATCACTCTTTTTATTCCCCCTGCATTTGTCCTCTCTGTTCTTTCCTCTCTGCCTTCACGTCTGCATCTCCGTCCCTCCGGCCTCTTTTCTTCTGTGTCTCCGTGCTGCAGGCCAGTCTGGATCAGTGGGAAGAGGTCAGCCTGTGGTGAATGCCATCAGGAGTGACTCAGCTCTAATTGGAGGTACTGTAGCGGCGATGTTTCTCACTGTAACACCGACCTTATCCTCAATCATGAGACAGGGACTGTCTGCGAAGCAAGCAGAGATGAAATGATGCTGCCATGTTCTTAGATAGACCTCAAAGGTGTCTTGAGCACCTGCTGTTTGGCCTCATAAAGGAGAGGAAGTCTCTTTTTCAAGGGTGTTTTTTTAAGGGTGTTATTGTGAGGAACTTTTAACTGGTGAACATGTCTCAGTTTAATCCTGGTCCTCTATCAGACCTCCATCAGTAAAGAGACCATCAGAGAGAAGATGGTCTGTTTCTATAGAGTTATTCTTAATGCTCGTCATCGGAGCCACCGGGTCGGATTCTGGTGAAATCAGATGAAATCATGCAGGTTCACCAGAAACTCCTTCAGCTCAGACTCCAGCAGAGACCGGTCCACCGAAGACAGACCCAGATCCTCCAGCAGAGACCGGTCCACCGTGAACAGACCCAGATCCTCCAGCAGAGACCGGTCCACCGTGGACAGACCCAGATCCTCCAGCAGAGACCGGTCCACCGCGGACAGACCCAGATCCTCCAGCAGAGACCGGTCCACCGTGGACAGACCCAGATCCGGCTTTACTGCAGCTTTGGACCTGCAGTCGGAGCTCCGGAGGGAGGAGGAGAGCTCAGCTCCCGGCAGCAGCGTCTCCTCCTCCTCCTCCTCCAGGAGCAGAGCTTCTCCTCTCTGCTCCTCCGGTTCCTGCTGGGACCAAAGACCGACACCACGCTGCTGGAGACCAAGGTCATATTGCTGGGCCCGCTGGAGGGAAGGGAGGCACGGGAGAACCAGAACCAGTCAGATCCTGCTGCAGTAAAATGAGAGGTTTTCTAAAGGGACTCTGGTGCTCGGAGACACTACCACTGTTGTCCACAGGGACCGCCAAAATCAATACTATGGTGAAATTGCACCCATACGCACGCACATTACCAGAGAAGGTGAAGTTTACATTTGTTTGGACAACAAACCAAACAATGGTGAGATTTATGCTTCATCAGAAGTGTCTTCAGTTAGATTCGGTTTTCCACCTGCAATGAAAAGCAGAGAACAGCCGCACTCTATTCCATAAATGTTTATATTTTGTATACACCTGGCACCTGAATTTTGTGTTTTCCTTTACAACAATTAAGACATTTTCACCATAAATTGATGCAAAAAAGGCATAACGTTGTGCATAAAATTCCTCAGAATGCAGGAAATGTTGCTCAAAAGTAGTTATTCCAGGCGTTTAATTATTTAGTTATTTACAAATATCAACTTTTGTGGATTATGATATGATAAGGGCTCAGTTAGTAACAGTTTAAAACTCACACCTGATTACCGAAGATCTGACAGTGAAATAATGGATACAAGACTTTTATTACGAATTTCAATGTGTGTTGTATGTTTGAGTGATGTGGAGTTAAATATTCATTGGTTGTCCGGCAGGAACGTTTTCATAAGATGTGCATGCTGCGTAGCAGTTTGAATGAAAGCCCCGAGTTATCACTCAAAACAGAGTGACTGTGTCTGGACACACAAAGGAAACCACAACTAATTAGAACACAAATTATTTCCTTCTCCGAGTGCAGCGACAGTACGTCTTTTTTAACAACGGTGCAGAGACCTTCTATTAGCTGGAATTGCCCTGCGAGCCTGCAGAAAATGAGCTGGCTGCACCTCTAATGGAGCGAAAGCAATCTAATGGTTTTTTCGCTGCCCGTTGAGCAACTGACCATGTTGCTTTTAAGTAGGAGTTTTATTTCCAAATGTAATGTTTCATCTCCAATTTGGTTCTGTAGTTCTAATTTGTCCCATTTGAAAACAACAAACATAAACAAACTAAAATACCAAATTAAATTACAATATTGATGAAGCGTACGTGTAAACATGACGGTCATTATGTGAACGCTACTGTGTTAAACACAGCTACAAAATGTGTCTGAAATTAGCCGGGTTCTTTACAGCTGCTGTTGATCTGTGCATCTCCATTTAAAAAAAAAAACACTACTTTTTATTCTAGCTTGAAATAGCGTTAGACATTTCACCTCACAATCATCATTAACTGCAGCTGTTACACAGATTTTCTTGCTCTCTTTCTTTATTTTTGCTTATTTTTCTGTACAATAATGAAGTGAAGTCAGCTTGGGGGTAAATTGAAGTGTAGCAAAACAGAGACGTCCTGAAGGAAATCCTGCTGCGATGTGTGTGAGAAGACAACAAACCCAAACTGAAGCTTAAGCTGCAGGAGAACACGCGGGAATGTGTGCAACACAACAATGTTTAATGTCCTGGAGAGGATCCAGAATTGTTAACAGGACTTGAGAAAAGCTGCTCACTTCATTCAAAGGAAACTTGCCAGACCTTGAGGAGGTTTGCAACGAAGAATTGGTACAAAAAAAGTGTGTCCAGAACCAGGCGGCAACCTCCGGTTCTGCCGAGTGAAGCCGATGCGGAAGGGTCATAAAACATTAAAGCATTCTCTCTAGTGTCCACCAGGGGGCGACTCCTCTGGTTGTATAGAAGTCTATGGGAAAATGACTCTACTTCTCTCTTGATTTATTACCTCAGTAAACATTGTAAACATGAGTTTATGGTCTCAATCTCTAGTTTCAAGTCTTCTTCAATACAGCATGATGTTCATTTAGTACATTATGGTCCATTTAGAGTCAAACAGACCATAAAGCAGGGGATGTTTAGGGCGGGGCTTACAGTGATTGACAGGTATACAGCGTCTCTACGTCACCTCTCCTCAGTACAAATATGGTCACTTCCGTTTATTAGTTGCAGAAAAAACAACATGGAAATGGTCGTAATCCAAGGTGGCGACGGCGAAATCGCCGAACTCGAGGCTTTAAAACGGCAGAACACAAACCAATGAGTGACATCACCACTTCTTATATACAGTCGATGGTCCAGAGGAGAGTCAAACTGCGCAGGGTGCCTCTATTAAATTATGATGCTAAAAGTTTTGTGTTTTGCATCTAATTCAGGACAATTTATTAGATTTTCACTGTGAAGAAAAATGTGTTTTTTTCAGTTGATCCGTGTCAGAAATATCCGATGATGGAAATTAACACCGTGTGAGTAAATGAAGCCCACGTTCCCACTGAGCCGCTGTAACTAACTTGTGCCGTTTCCTCTGCAGGTGTGATAGCGGTGGTGATCTTCGTGACCGTGTCAGCGTTGGCCGTGATGGCCCGAGTCCTCTACAGGAGGAAAGGGACGTGTCAGCGCCGGGAAGCCAAAGCGGCGAAGCCCGACGACAACCCGGAGCTGGCGTTCAGCAGCCAGACCGGCTCAAACAACGGTCCCAGTGAGAACCAGAGGGAATATTTTATTTAGGTGGAGGTTGGACCTGCTGCTGACCGGACAGAGACAGAGACGACTTCTCAAGCCTCAGTGCTTTACGATACACACTCTGTACACAGTGAGCCCGAGCAGAGACTCCAGCAGAACTGTACACTCGTGTTCTGTCTTCTTTTCTCTTGTTCTTGCTTCTGTGGTTTGTAAAGACTGTATAAAGATGCACCAGAACAAAGTGTTGAATTTGTAATATGTCAGTCCTGCCACAGAGTCGATCAATTGTAAATACTTAATGACTTTATATCAATCAGTCCTTTTCTGTGTCTTGTTGAAACGATGAAATGAGGAACTGTATTTTTCATGGAGTTGCTGGTATGAAAGTTTAAACAGCTTTGTTGGGTCTGACATGATCTGAATACATTTTTCCGACATGGACAATGAATGTTTAATGTTTTGAGTGAGTCAGTTATTTGAATGTCCAGTTGTTTGTTGTTGTTTTGTATTCATTATTTTTTTGCACCTGCTGTGTTCACATTGAACATTTCTCATTTTCTCTAAAGTTCTGTGATTTTCTTTCATTACGTCGCAGCATGAAGCAAAGCTGGACTATTTATTTTCCTTTGCTTGATTTTTCTTCTTTCGGTCACTTTCCCGCCTCCGGCTCTCAGTGTAGTTCTGAACAGTGAACGTGTTGAGACGGACCCGGTTACTGTGGACTTTCTGTTCATTCCAACTCAAAACATGTCCTGTTTCTTTTAAACTCGCATCCCATTTTCTATAATATACAGTATGTGTGTGATATCCACGAGTTACTTTTCGTAGCTTCTGCTGAGAACGTTGGCTGAGACCAGCCTGCATCGAGACGTTGCGGTTTTTCACATGTACAGTATTTGTCCCTGTCTTGCCATTCTGTTAAATCTCAGAGAAGCCAGAAATCAATATGGTCGATGTCTCACATTCTTATTTATCAATCCAGACCAAAACATCTCGATCGATAAACAGCACTAAAGAGGAATAATGTCTATTTTAGATTTTGGGGTGAACTGACCCTTTGATATATGATCAGAGTAGCTGCTTCTCTGTCACATAATGTAATCCCTCCAACAGCCAACCTGACGTCTAAACATGATAAATATTTTACTCCTAATACCACGGCATGCTCGAAAAATGAGGCTCAGCTTTCTACCAAACTGAACATAAAACCCGGTGAGATGAGCTGCAGCCTGTTGGTACTGCATGCTGTGGCAAAGCCCCATCATCTGTAAACTATAACACACACAGACGTGAGACATCGGAGTGTTGGTTTGAGGAATCAGTTTGTGGTTTTTGGTTCATCACAGATATTTTAGTGAGAAACAATTCCATTTAGTGAAAATAAACAGTTTGATCTCTTCTTTCCCTTCGGCTTGATTACAGTCCTGCAGCAGCATTACTGACGCCAGTAAGATCTATTCTAAAAGCAGAGTCTTTGTAGAGCCCAATCAATGAACAGGAGATTCTGAGGTCGATCAATGGAAAACCTTTAAACACCTGAATAGAGCAGCATCGTTTGAGGTTTAGACACCTGAACGTCTGAATCAATTATCTCTCTGTTACCACACATTTACATCCCTGCATGTTTGGCCCTTTTAAGGCAGATTTGAGATGGGTGTTTCCTACACAATGGGACATTTCTGATGGATAGTCATATTCATCTGTCTGCAGAGAAGAGATAGCTGTGAGCGGCCGCTTTGTGAAGCATCCAGGTGCAGAAGATGTAATGCTAATTCTTGTCACTGGCCCACCCAGCCTCTCTCCGGGCTGCAGCGATAACACTCGGACGCAGAGCTTTGACATGTGATGGGTCCGCCCACAGCCTGCTGTCCGCCCTCTACCCACACACACACACACACACACACACACAGGGCTCTGGTGATCCAGATGACTGCGTGGTTGTCAGGCGGTGTTATTTACTGACAGACCTTTAATAATAACGCTTCATTAGGGAGAACAAAGAGAGGATGTGTTGTAATGACACGAGCCGCAGCAAGTGAAGAGTATTATGTTCTTTCAGCCAAACCAGAATTATGTGACAATGTGCTGCCATAAATCTGATTATTATGAATGCAATAGCAAAGAAATGAGAAACTGTAGTCAATGGAAGGGACACAAAACAGGCACCACCACAGACAGATTCAGTCTAAGTTTTATGTTTAATTCTGCAGAAAATTCAAGCGGCTAATGTCCATTTTTGTTGGTACGTCCAGACTGAGTTGGGTTTGGGGCTAAAATGTGATTTATTACTATTTTACTTGTACTTACTTACAACCCACACATACAACCCACTGTCTCACTTTATCACACGTGCACCATTCTGCATCCCCTCCATACAGACAAATGTGTTTAATGGTTATTTCTACAGGAAAATATAAAGTGTTTCTTCTTGATTTAACCTCGTCTGGCCTCTCTGTCCTGATGTCAGTCAGTTTTGTTTCATGAGGCAGAGCAGTTGGTTTACTTATCAGCCCACAGAGGCTTTTGTTTGTGTGGGAGGGATGGTTGGTTAAAGTTTACTGTGAGGAACTTTATCTGGTTATGAAACAGTCTCAATTCAACACTGATGCCTCAATATGACCTACATAAGTAAAAGAGACCATCCGCGAGAAGATTGTCTATTTACAGTTATTCTTAATGCTCGTCAGTGAACCAATTCCAGCAAAATCAGATGAAGAGTCATGCAGGTTCACCAGAAACTCCTTCAACTCAGACTCCAGTGGGGCCTCCAGCCGAGACCAGTCCACAGTGGACAGACCCAGATCCTCCAGCAGAGACCGGTCCACCGTGGACAGACCCAGATCTGGCTTCTCTGCAGCCCTGGACCTGCAGTCGGAGCTCTGGAGGGAGGAGGAGGGCTCAGCTCCCGGCAGCAGCAGCAGCGTCTCCTCCTCCTCCTCCTCCTCCTCCAGGAGCAGAGCTTCTCCTCTCTGGGAGCCAACACGGACACCACGCTGCTGGAGACCCAGGACGTATTGCTGGACCCGCTGGAGGGAAGGGAGGCACGGGAGAACCAGAACCAGGACTGAGAGGGGCAGTCTGTCAGACCCTGCTGCAGTAAAATTAGATGTTTTCTAAAGGGTCTCTGGCGCTCGGAAAAACTACTATTTTTGTCCACAGGGACCGCCAAAATCAACACAAAATGAAAGTTGCTCCTCGTAACTTAGTTACGTTAGGTTTACGGTTCATTTTGAAAGAGGGGCACCTGAGCAAATCAGTTAATAACAGAAGAACGTTTCTCATTCGGGCCCAGACATCCTGGTCAAAAGAAGATTTAAAAGCGGACGCTTGAGAAACTAAATGCTCATACTTGACTTTCAAAAAGTTTCAGGAAGTCAAACCATGACAGAATTCTAGTCAATGCAGGAACCAGACTTTTGAAATAAACAAACACTGTGAATTAAATAAAGAAACTGAACAGAGGAGGAGGTCTGTGATGTTGTGGTCTGGATGATTACCAGCCGCCTGCTATCAGGTTAGAGATCCCGTAGGACTGCAGCAGCTCCAACAGAAACCTGCTGATTATAAACGGCGGCTCAGGCCTCTCTGGCTCTGTATCGCCTCTGCATCCATCATAATCACGCAGGGGGAGAAATTGCGTCCAGAATATGAATGTGACATGTATTGATGTTGAAAGACTCGTCAGCCGTGTGCTGGTGCTGCTGGCCGCGTCCCCGTCTCGATCCCTGCTGTCCCTGGTGTCAGCGGGGCCTGGTGCTGTCAAAAAGACCTGCTGACAGCACGCCGACCGCCTCTGTTCGCAGTCGTCAGGGGTCAGCGGCGTGCGGGCCACATGGTTGGACTGCTGAAGAGAAACTCCCGCTGTGTGAAATTTAAAGCTCGTAAAATTTAGCTCATGACAAAACTGTTTTTTTTCTCTCACTTGGCTGCAGATGTCAATTGGGTAAAGACGCGACTCGCCACACGACAGCAGAACCACGGCGGGCGGTTTTAGTTGGTACTTTATTCAAAGCAGTGACTCTGTGATAGTTACCCAGCTACCCAACGCCGGAGATCACAGCCTGGCTGTCAGCCCTCTCATCCCTCGTGTCCCTCAGCACAGCAGCAGTGGGAGGAATCATATGTGGCCAGTGGTGGGCCGTCAGGGCCAGCAAAGCCTTCTCTGCTGGCCCTGACAGAATCACACAGTTTGAATTATTTTTCATAAATACACTACATGTATTTTAAATACTGTTTCCCATTAGCTTATTATCTCACTGCACAGCTACTGTCTTCCTCAGCTGGTCTGTTGGGAATATTTATGAGATTAATGCGGTTTCCCTCACATTAGGTGCTTAGCTGCATATAACTCCTAAATATAGATTAGGAATAATGATGATGAATAAACACACCCAGAGGATGTTGGGCTAATCTTCAATGCCATAATTATAATTCTAGAGGACAGCTTCACATCACAGGCTCTCTGAAGATGAGATGGAGTTCATCTCTTTGTGTTTAAAGGGTCTGTCTTCATCCAAAGAGTCTTTCATCAGTAAACACATACAAATATGAGTTTCTTACATCCGGTTTCACATCATTTCTCTTATCTCTCTGCTGTAGACCTGAGTATTTTAAAAAAAAACATAGTTTTAAGTGTCATATCTGATAGATATTGTTCATTGTAAGTGAATATAAAACAGAAGATTTGAGTTTTATTCAAATCTTTCTCAAATACAGAGCTGCTCTGGAAACAGATAAACTCAGAGTTTGAGTTAAGATTCATTAGATTCTGTCATGTGAGAATAAAAACACTAAACTAAAAAGTCAAGAGGTGCTTTAATTATGAGCCCTAACTTTAGCTAACTGAGGAAAAATTTAGCTAACTGAGGAAAAATAAAATTGTCCTTCAATCAGGGATCTACTCATCTCACCTGCCTCAGCTGACACACCTGACTTCCATCACTTAACCATCTCCATCCTATAGACACACCTGTCTGTCAGCGTGGCTCCTCTTTCACACTCACTGCTTTGTATTTAACTCCTGTCACGGCTTTGCTGTGATGAGAAATAAAAGAAGAAGAGCCGTTTGGTTTTAACTGCAACAAACAAAGCAGCTTTTTGTTTTAGCTGTTCAACAACACTGAGGCGGTGCACCTTGAATATTTCATGTGGATCCAAGCAACCAGCACAGAAAACACATGTCGCTCTGAGTCTGTGGTGTCCTGCAGCTATCTGAGCAACATGTCCCGGTTTAGCTAGCCTGCCCTTCAAGAAGCATTCAAATAAAAGGCGGTGATGAGCGAATGGGAGTAGAGGTCATCGGCGCTCGATTGAGTCAGCTCTTCGTCTGCTGCCGCTCGGATCAGATGCCACTGATGAAACTCTGACGCACATCAACGCCGTCCCTTCTATTTCGTTTGACTGGCTTCATTTATATTCTCCCAATCATCCTCCTAAGTTATCCCAGAACACGAGGGAATGATAACTTATGATCAGCTGTTTCAAAAGCAGCACCGAACTATAACAGCAACATGTTCATCCATTACTTTATGTTTTATAATCCAGAACACAACATGTTCATTATACTTCTGATGGGGTTGCTGATCAAAAGTATTGACCAGATGATTACAGCCAAGTTTCTTATTTTCCAAGACCAGAGAACGTGTGGGACGAGACCAGTTCTCACAATGCTGTTGTGAAGAACAGTGGGAAGACTCTGTGTTATATAATGGATCTATTTTAAATCTTGGAATGCTGACATGAAGAATCTCAAGCTACCAAGATATATATATATATATATATATATATATATATATAGCATAATCTGCTGTTTTTTTCTTCAGTTACAAAACAGCCTCAGACTGACATTCAATTCAGACATATTTTCTCATTGTTCGAGTCTGAAAATGTGTTTAAAGATGCAAACGGACGCTGTGTGCACCCAGCAAGAGTCGAGAAATATTTTTGAATAATGAATTAAAGAAAGAGGTTTAAAAAAACATAAATGTTTGTGGTTACCTGGGGAATATGAATAATTCATTTGCAAATAGATTTATTTCAGCCCAGATGAGTTTTCAACATGAATCTTGTCAGACAGCGAGCTGTATCTGAGCCAACCAAGAAGTTTGATGTTTGCCGTTTTGAGTTTTACCTCCAGGCTGATTTAGTCCATTTGGACACGTTGTAGTAATCACTAGACATCCAGTCGCCAGGAAGAAAATGTTGCCATTGCATGAAACACCTCAGATGAATGTGGATGTTTTTGCATTCTATCAAATACTTAAAACTTATAGCGGAACAAGTGACATAGTTTATGATGCGACAGTTATTGAAAGTTATAATGAGTATAAAGAGCGAAAAAGTCAACTAAATTCAGGTTGGTCAAACAAACACAGGACTTTCACCCAGGTGACCGCTGTTCGTGTGCAGTGTGAAACCAAAACTAAACATTTTCTCTACACTTGTTTTACAACGTTAACAAAGTCAGCTACAGGTTGTTTATTATTTGAGGAAGTTAAGTTGATACGTTATTTGATCACAAACCTTGATGATTATTCTCAACCTTAACTGTTTTGTTGCCTGAACCAAAGTGAACCACGTGACGTTGTGCGTCTCTGCAAGTGAGATACGAGGCTGATGTGAAATGTAATTATGAAAGGTATTTTTGGTTCAGAGTCGTCTATATTCAATGTATCGCGTGGTTCGTAGAAATATACAAAGTAGAGCTTGGATATACATATATATATATACATATATATGTATATATATATATACATATATATGTATATATATATATACATACATATATACATATATACATATATATGTATGTATATATATATATATATATATATATATATATATATATACATATATACATATATATACATATATATATATATATATATATATATATATATATATATATACATATATATATACATATATATATGTATGTATGTATGTGTGTGTTTCTTTTTTTATTGCACTTATTCTAATTTAAATGTTCTTATTTCAAGAAAAATAATCTCCATGTTTTAGTTCAAATTCTTCAGATTTTACTGCTGTAATATTAGAATAAAAAAGCTAAAGAAATAGAAGTTAAGCGGTAGCTTTGGTTTTGAACCCTGACCCTCGGTAGGAAAGTTAGTTTCACAAATGAGTTCTCATCAGAGAAGACACACCTGACTTCCATCACCTAATTATCTCAGTCCTATAAATACACCTCTATCACAATAGATCTTGTTTGACACTCACACCTTCGTATTTAACACCTGTCACTGGAGAAACTTTTCAAACCACTTTTACAACATTAATTCAAAGTTAATCCTACGTATGTGTCAAGTTGTCATTTTCACATCGCTGCGAAGTTCCGCTTTATGAAGTGTTTTTCTCACAGTAATTTTCTTGGCTAATAAAG